TGTTTATATTTTAAGAGGAGTTGAAGGGCGGTTGGGGGGGGGGGGGGGGGGGGGAGAGGGAGAAGAAAAAAAAACCATAAGGCCAAGGTAGGGGGAAAAAAAAAAAAAAAAAAAGGCCAAGGTAGGGGGAAAAAAACCCCCTACAACCAAACAAACCAAAACCCAAACAACCCTTGGGATCAGTCCATAACTGACTGCAACTTTTACGTATCAATTTTATTAACAGCAAAATCTAGGAAAATTTATTCTTGCTTTTTTGTAAAATTGTTTTAGTGAACATGTGTGAATATTCGCATTTGAAAGTCACAAAATAAAATAACAGGACACGACATTTGCAAAAAGAGTATGTAAAACTATCAGATGTTAAAACAGTCTAATTACTAGTTTAAAATAATCTGAGATTTTAACTAACAATTGTTACAGCTGAAAAAGGAAAATAATTCCATTACTACTTTTTTTTTTTTTTTTTTTTAAGGCAGACCTTTAAGAGTAGAAATATCTCCTAAAAAACTATTAAATCTCACTGACAAAGCAGAACTGATCTATTTTTACTTAAGGATAATGTAACGTGACAAGATCACACGAAAGAAAAGGAATTATTTGAAGGCAAAACAATCAAGACAGTAAAAATTCAGAGATGAGGACATTTTTCTGCACTTGTGTACATAACAAAAACATCCTCAATTTAACTGCAACAGGGAAAAAAATTTTTTTAAAATATCTCTGAAAAATTAATGGAGTATTTGTTACTGCTGCAGGAACTCTTAAGACTCATTCTAACATGCATCACCAAACAATAATAATTCTGCATCTTCTTTTGTGGCCTGTGTGACTTCCATGTTAAGCCACAAATAAAGAAAAAACCCCCATCAGATTTCATCTGTAAGAAGAAGTGGAATGTGTGTTTGTAAAAGCTGTTTATTAAATATTATTTGTAGTACTGTGGTGCTCAGGCCCAAGTCAGGGACCGGGATTCCATTTTGCTTGGTGCTCTATGAAAATTAAAAAACAAAACAAACCAAACCCACAATCCTTATTTTACTGTCAAAACACCAAGAACATTTTGATTCTGTGGGCTGTATTTTAAACTGCATCAGGAAAAGTTAAAGAGCTGCCAAAAGAACAGGGAAGTTCAATATATTCAGGATAGTTTTCCTCTACTTTCAGACTCTCTAACTGCTAAAATTTCGCTATTCCTTGGTTTATAGTTTTAGTGATGTTGTATGTAAGTATACTTTCTTTTATGTAAACACCAACAGAAATTAAAACGTTAATCACATTATTCACGTAGCTCTTTGTTGCGAGAACCACCTATGAGAGATATGACAATACATATTTTACATCACTAAGAAAAGACTCAAGTCACTTTATTTTTTAAATCTTTATTAGATGGTAAATACGATTTCATTGCCATTTCAATTATTTGAAGTGTGGATTTAAAATAAAGCTGAAACACAGAGTGGTTATTGTTATAAAAACTAGGAAAAGGGAGACACCCGTACATTCTGAAATATATAAAGTGAGCATAGCTACAGATCAAATGATCAAATCTAGTATGCACGATTTTACTTTAAAAAAAATAAATAAAATCCGTACTACAAAATACATTTACCCTCACGATTACAGACCACATGCTGGATTATGATTTTAATGATTTTTACCACATTTGATAATTGTATGTCAAAATACACAGCAACTAGGCATCTAATTTTTATCACTTTTTGTAACATGACTTTATGGAAATATGTGACATTTTAGCCTCCGTTCTCTAACCTTTCATGGTTACATTTGTGCAATAAAGCAGAAGGGTGGCTGCAGAAAGCTTTCTCACCGTGCCAAGCACAAAGCTCAAGCAGTAGGCTCGTACACCGAGCTCGGGGGCCTTGGAAACATATGTATAAAAAAAGCTCAACTCGGCCTCTCCTCAGTTGCCCAGAAATACAGTTTCAATTGAATTTTATTAAAAGTTATATAGTTGAGACCTTCAGGGTCTTTACACACAAAATATTCTTTGTCTAGTTTCTACGTGATTTCAAACATACTTTTGGCTTTGCTTCACAAGTTACGTTAGTTAATAATCGGGGCAAAATAAATATTAAAAAATGACAGCTTCCCCTGTTTACATCGATCCCTGCTAAATCCATTCTTATTGTCCACAAACACGTTCGTTCTTGCAAGGCCCCAGCTCGACCTGAAAAAGCACAGAGGCACTGCAAACCATAAAGACAAGTAATTACGCTCCTTTAAACCCCCTTCCTCATCGGATACCGATTTTTTTTTAAAGGTAATTATCAGCGGACATTTGCTTTACTTTTATTTTCTTTTCCTTTTTGACTGCGAGCAGCAAATAAACAGTTACAGCACAAATCGGAACGTTTATTCGGTACCGTCGCGCTACCGAACATTAAATAAATAAACGATTTGATCGCTAATCAGGCTCCGTACAACGCTGCAGCCTTTCAGGAACCTTCGGCACGTTATTGATCCGCTAGTGAATTACCTCCAGTTCAGCCATAGGTTGCAGGCATCACCATCCCTCGCTTGTCCTCGCGTTGACAACCCTCCTCCTCCTCCTCCTCCTGCCATCGCTCCTAGAAGCCAGAAGATTCGTCAGTCCCGCACGTCTGGTTTGGTTGGCGGCAAGAACAATGAATCAAATCGTTAATAGCTGTTTGGGTCTGGGGTTGGTTGGTTTTAAAGGAAACTTCTCAAGCCGAGCTCCCTGCCAGCCCTGCACCCTCCGCCCCCGTGGCGACGGCCCCAAGCAGAGCTGCCCGGGCAAGCCCCGCCGAACGACGGCGGAAAAGCCCGTTTCTGGTGATTCCGTCGGGGTCGTTTCCCGCCCCAAACCCGAGGCACGGCCCCGGGCGCGACGTCGCGAGGAGAAGAGGACCACCACCGCCTGACAGACACCGGCACTTACGCGCAGACGCCACCGCCTCAGCGCCCCGGGGCCCCTGACGGGCTCTGAGGGAACCCGGCGCCGCCGAAACCCCGCGCGCGGGAGGGGCCTGGCGGCGGGGGAGCCGCGGAAAGGGGAAGGAGAAAGGGGGGGGAAGGAGGAGGAGAGAGGGCGGGCCGGCCTTCCTCAGCCCGCCTCCCCAGCGGGGCCGCGCTCCCCGGGGGCATTTTGGCTTCGCTCGCTTCCCATTTCTGCGACACTAAAACTCGGTAACTTCCAGCCTCCCCGCCGCCGCCGC